CTGCAGTGCAAGCCACACATGGTCCCTCTGTAGACACAGGGGTCCTTGTGACTATTTGCAATCTGACGGACAATCCAGCCTAGAAACGGATACTGCTAACTGTATATATGCATATATATATATATATATATATGACAAAAGTCGGAAGAGCGTTCCACGTTTGACAAACTGGCAGGGGAAATTTCCGGCCGCACTCCAGCCAATTGTATTGAGTGTCAAGTCACAATTTATGACCTCTCAATTCTGTGTTGAAGCTAAGCTTCAGGAGGTGGCGACAAGTGTGACCGGAGTTTTTCCAATTCTGGATGGCAAGTTCGAGGCCACTCTGTAGACGGCGATATCTTCCTCTGTGCACTCTCAGGGCTCGCAGTCACCTATGGTATTGCAGGCGGGACAAACCCTTGACATTTTTCGTTCCCCGTTGCTGTGCGGTCTCCAGTGCAACCAGGTCGCTTTTTAACCAGGGTTGCCAAGCCTGGACCGCGTACTCTACTTGGGGCCTCACATGCGCATTGAGCATTTGAGGCAAGATGGAGGGATCGAATCTCCCGAATGCCCTCCGCAACAGACCAACATAATGGTTCGTGGTTTTGGACGCCTTCAAGGACTGCGCCGAACAGGTCTTGCTCTTGTGAGGCGGTTTCCAGCATATGGTCTCCAAGTTTATGTGCTTAAGTCGGCTTGTCGCGGACATGCACGTTTTTGCACTTCTCCTTGTTAAACGGAAGTAGATTTAACTCTGACCACATAAAAGCGCAGCCTAAGACCTCTTGCAACATTTCGTGATGTTTCTGACAGCCGATTTCCCGCCATATCTTGATGCCATCGGCAAAATCAGGAAATTTGACTTGCTGACACTTGCAAGGTCGTTAATGGAGAATAAGAATAACCGCGGCCCCAACACCGACACTTGTGGAATACCGCAGTCCACATCAATTAGCGAAAGAGGAAGTTTTCAATCTATCCAAGGATAGGGTTTCCAACCCCGTATGGTTGCAGCTTTTGGGGAAGGAAGCGGTGATCTATGCGGTCAAACGTTTTGGAAAAGGCTAAGTAGATGACATCAACGCCGGTCCCACTTTCGACTATCTCGGTCCATCTGCAACGGGCAAGCAGTAGGTTGGTAGTACATGACCAATGCTGATGGAATCCGTGTTGCTCCGGTGCTATAAAGTTAGACCTTTCGAAGTAGCCCATTACAACCTCAGCTATGATCGATTCCATCACTTTAGAGAGCACCGGGAGGAGAGTCACTGCGCGATAGTTGCCTAACTCTGAAGGACTACCGCTTTTGCAAATCGGGGTAATGATGCCTTGCTTCTACATGCCAGGGAACTGCTCTTCGTCCAGGCATCTTTGGAAAAATTTTGTTAGTGTTTCAGCTTTCCTCGTAGCTGCCACCTTCAGTGCTTTCGGGGGAATGTTGTCGACTCCGGGGGAGCTATGGGTGCGCACAGACAGCAGCTTCCTCAAAATGCCCCTTGAACTAAACGTGTCATGTATAAAGCTCGGCATGTGGGAGAATGGGGCAGGTATGTTACAAATGCCTGGAACATGTCTGAAATTTGTGGCATATTGTAGCCGTAGCAGGTTGACTGATTCCTCGGTGGTTTGAGCACATCCATCCGTTGATATTAGTGGGGGAACACCAGGTTTCACATTTCGGAGGCTGTTCGCATACCTGTACAGAAATCTTTTGTTAGCACAAAACTTTTCCACTGGACTCTACCGGTGTATACAAGCGTGCACAAGCGTGGTACAGTGATTACGATGCAAAACATAGTTACTCCAGCTGTCAGGGTTAGGGTTCGCTCTATACACATGTCACGCAGCGTCGCTTACTGTCATGTGTTTTCGGGTTTTACTCCGAATGAATGATTTTGTCCTTGCAGAACGAAGGGGCTTGTTGACCGATGCAGATTTAATCAGATCACTGAACTTGCCAGTAAAATCCAACAAAGCACTGTCAATGGAACAGTCATCCGGAAACTCCCAGCTTGCACTTCCCAAAAGTTCTGTCAGTATGTCGTAGTGGGTGATTGTTCGAAAAAGTTAGTATGTTCGTGTGGATACTCCGCATAACCCACGAAGTCGTAAATTATGGTTACGTGCTCGATTCGCCCCAGAAGGCTCTCCAGCCTTGGTTTCTCAACCATGAGCTCCTTGTTCGTGAGCACTAAATCAAGCACAGCCGGTTTATTTCCGGCTCTGAATCGGGTGGGTGAAGTGACTTGAGTGAAGAGCGGAATGCTTGCAATGTACTCTTGCAGGTCGGCCTTAAACTGCTCCCTGGGGATGCCGTAACTTCCAAATCATAAATATTGAGGTCGCCTGAGATGAGTACATGACTCTATCGTCCTCGTAGAACCCTTCCTTACAATAATGCCAGGCGGGAGTCCATCTCTGTGGTGGACATTAGGGGACGATAAACAAAGACCAAAAGACAAGTGTCGTTGCGTCTCAGTCGCATACTGCACCACAGTGAGTTTATCATCAGCGTTTCCAGATCAGCCACCGGTTCGCACTACAGATCGTTGTCGTAGCATACCATTATACCCCAACGTTTGCTAGGTCGATCGTTTCGGGGAAGGGACATACCATTTATCGCGGCTTTTGCATCGGTAATTTTTGAGTGCAACCAGGATTCAGTAACGAGTATGAGGTCCCAGGCATGTGATGCTTGACGTAGCCGCAGTTCGGCAAGCTTGTTCAGGAGATCTTGTGCATTGGTGCACATGAAGTAAAGTTTCTCTGTATTTAGCAATGAATCGTGGGATGGGTGTTTTGGATAAAATGTTGTGCCGACCGGTAAAAGGTCGGCAACTAATCGTTTTTTGGGTATGGAGATGCCGAAGTCATCTGTGTCCGATTCATGGATCCTACCATTACCACTTTGCTACTCTCTTTGTATGTGATGTGTTTACCAGTTTCGTTGGTTAGTTGATTGAAGTTATCCGAATTCTTGTCGGTAAGTGATATGACTAAGTGGCTGCTCACGTGTGTTTGTTTAGCAAATGCTGCTTTGGTCCGAAGCTCGGAAAAAAGGATGTTGCGGCCCGCATACCATCTCTTCATTACCAATGCTGATATTTGTCTAGATTGAAGGAACACTTTCACAACCCCCGGGTCACATCTCTTGTAGTCTGGCGATCGGTGTAGCCTTGTGATTGATTGCGTTGTGACGTGTTCCAGGGAGAGGGTCTCGCTAATGTACTGCCATTGCTCCTGGTGGTGAGTAGCCGCTTCGCGCTCAGCACGACTTTTAGCCACTGGAACACCGTGTACAAGGATGGTCTTGGTTCACCGTAGTGCTGTGAGCTTGGGTGACGGGTAACGCGTGTCAAATTTACGAGCTTAGTTACAACATCTACAGCGTGGCATATGGAGTTCCACTGGTTCACATCATCGAGTTGTTTTCCTTTTAAGGAATTAGACGTCGATTGGAACGTTGGTGCAGATTACCGCTGGCATACTACGTGCAACTCTGGTTACGGTCAAGCGACCAGTTGGTCTGTATATAGTCGATTGGGGCTGTTCGGGAACAGTTTATTTTTCTTCATTTGCTATGGGTCCGATGGGGGTGGCAGCAACTAAGTTTCAAGCACTACTGGTGTTGAAGCCATTCTGAATTTTCGGAACGGTTTGGAGGGTGAACAAAGCCCTGACCGTGCTCATTGCAATCGGACTGGCGGTGGTTGTTCCAGGCATATTTGTGCAACAGGTGGTATTGCCGTTTAATGCCACAGATGATACATTTTAAGCGTGCTGCCTGGCCTTCTTTCTCAGTTTTAATGCGGTGTTTGATGGGAATGACTGAGATTTACGCTCTGTCAAGCTTTCTACAAATGAATCGCTTTTGGTGCTCCTCCTTTGTTCAAACATTGCCGCTAGTCTTTCATACTTCTACTACAATTCAAGCACAATCTTTACCAGTGGGATGACTATATGGACTGAACAGAACTACAGTGAATGTGGTTTACTAGTGTGTAGCTTCAACTGGGTCTCTGTGAGCTTGGAACATTTGCGATCGAACTTGCCTTGGCAACTGCTACACTGGATTCCGATCCGTACATTCTATGGCATGAACGAAGGCCACAAACTACTGTCGATCAGCATGCGGTAAAATGGGCTTTTGTTTGACCGCCACAATCCGTTGCGTCGATCGATGGTACTCCCAGAGTGGCCCGAGCGCTTATGGTTTCCTGCCGGTCGCGTGTGCCCTGAATTGTCTGCATATTCAAAATCGTCACATTCTGTGCGTCTGGCCCAGGCTGGGAAGGTTTAAGCGGCTAGATGGTTCACGCGGCATGCAGAACGGCTGAGCGATATGATAGCTACTTTGATGTACTGTCCACCGCTGTTGTTGCTGATTTGTCAGATGAAACGTGTAGTTGGCTTTCGTTTGAGAACACAAATATTTCTGTGTGGTTCGTGATTCGGGGAATTTCTCGATTGTGTTTGTTGTGGGAATAGCGCAACAACCGCAATGTGGAGGTAAAAGACGATCCACACAAGCTAGATCTGAAAGATGGAGTGCACTAGATAGCGCAGATGAATCTGGGTCGAATGAGTGTGAACACACGTTTGTGTGACAAAATGTAACTGAGAACGGTGGCAAAACAACGTGTTCACAGATGGGCGATTGGAACGCAGGTTCGTTCAAGGTAAAGGAAGGACTCAATGATGCGGTACCCCATCTGCATGATATGATATAACCCGCATTCGTCTGGTGACAGAGAAACGTAACCAGGCCCTGAGCTCACCAGCCGCCCACGACATCGGAGTATGTAGATAAACAGTTGTGGCTACATTACCTTCATGGTCAATCCACAAATACCTGGTTTACCTTACTGAAATTATTGTTCCTTGTACTTACTTATTTTTCACCTATGCCATTTTGCTGGACTTAACAAGCCTCAGCTTTTCTACTTATGTTATACCATTGTTCTTTTGTAACGTGGTCTTATTTCAATGCCATAATGTGTGTCTGTTTGCTGTAGAATCCAACGGCAAAGACTGGGGAGCTGGAAGCCAAGATCAAACGGTTGGATCTTGAGAGGGGAAATGCGAAAGCAATGCTTGATCTGTTGAAGAAACAACATCAGGAGGAAATACTCGTGATTGAGAAGGCTGCAGGGTAAATGATTCAATGGAGCAATTTGTCGCTTGAATGTCTTTTATTCAGATGGAACTGCCATTCAAATGCCGGTGCTTGTTTTAACCCACAGGAATATGAGCATCTCGTGACCGGTTTGTTTTGAGAATCTCAGCTGGGTCGTGATGTAGCCGGTGTTGCAAACGTTGCCACCAGCTCTTGTAAAAAGATGATTAAAATATCCGAACCATCGAACTGTGCACACTTTCTCACTCAAAGTTGCGGTTTACCGGCAAACAACTGAGCAGTGCTGTGGTATGCTGAAAGCACCGTCCAAAGTAGTCCGTTTCCTTAATTTGAGCAGTTATTTAAGGATGGTTGCCAAAATGTCAGCACAATAGCCCACCACGGTTTTTATCCGAAATCGTTATCAGTTGCACGTCCTCAAATGCTTAGCGAAATCGTACCTTCAGCAGGTGTGCACATATACCGTCGTGGCATTCGTTTACTGGATCACCGACATGCAGCACCGTATGCAATGGTGTCATGATTGATATCCACTGCTATTTCCTATTTGACGCATAGATTGCATTGGGACACACAGGGTACACATAGTGGCCCCCGTCAGCAGATGACAAGCAATTAAGGAAGTTGGCTCTTAGTATAGTATCTCGCTTCAAAACCGACCGTTTCCCCCAGCCCGAATACATAGAGAATTTGAAACAACTAGTTTCTTTGTGCATTTTAAACAATGCTGTGAGAAGACGAAAACTGGTAGATGTTAACATTTCGTATTGTCTCGTCAGTGCCAATACAAAAACAGGAAAATATATGTCTGCAGCTACGGTGTGACCGGATAAAATACAGACAGGGTGGGGGGCACAGATGTGCAAAGTAGCGAAGTAGTATCTAACAGCTGTCTCCCATTTTTGGACATACTGATTAGTCGTAGAGAAAACGGTCTCATCAAACGATCTGTGTACCGAAAACCGACATGATCCGGGAAGTACCTACATTTTACCAGATTCACTCCAATGCGGCACAAGCGGACACTAGTCAAGACCTTGTTTAATCGCGCAAGAAGAATATGCAGCTCCGATTGTCTGAAAGAGGAACAGGAGCTATTGACTAATACGTTCTTGAAAAACGGTTATCCTCGCCGGTTTATCGTAAAACATAACCAGACGAGAGTGGCAAAAGAAAAGATCCCCACTGTGGCCAAAAAGAAAATCTTTATAAAACTGCCGTTTAAATGGGATCTTGCCATCATGAGGACAACCAAGCGATTAATTTCCGCTGTTCACAGGAATTATTACTATGCCGTATCTGTCCTTATTAACCGAAGCATCAAAGTGCCTGTTCCCCCAAAGAAGGAAAGACCAGCTTTCGGCGCCATTTCACAATGCATCTACCAATTCACTTGTAGCTGCGAGTCACGCTACATAGGCCGTACCGAGAGAATGTTAAATTCCAGAGTAAGTGAACATGTACCTAAGTGGGTGCAGCATGAAATTATCCAGTCTTCCGCTTCGTCTACCACCTGTTCGCGAAAGCCACCTGCCTCAACCACAGTGTAGATTTATTGTCTACTTGTGATCCATTCAACCCCAACCATACAGTTCACAATCTTGTTGTGACGTGCTAACAGCCGCATCCTACATTTCTCCGAGGCTGTCGCGATCAGTAGGATCAAACCAGCACACTGTATGCAAAAACAGTTGTTTGTAAGCTTAAGGCTCCCATGGACGTAGGGGTGGCATATCTGTACCCCACCCTGTCTCCATTTTATCCGGTCACGCCCTAGCTGTAGGTATATATTCTGCAGTTATTGTATTGGCACTGACGAGACAATACGAAATGTTAACAAAGCAAATTGCCCAAGCAAACGGTTCTTTTTTCGTCTTTTGATATTATCCATAGAGATCTTCAACACCGGTGCAACAACAATTACTTTTCGGAGTATAATGCAAAGTTATTTAGAGGAAGCAGTGTGGGATACTTCCAAGGCATGGGCTTGTTGCGTTACTCAACGCAGCTCTTCAAACTAGACATGCCGACATGCTGACCACGCAACGGTTGTGTTGTCGAATGATGTGTAGAAAATAAGATAAGCGTGTAACGCAATGATAGCGGTTTAGAAATGAGGAGTAAAACGCAGTAAATCCCGAAGAAACTGCACAAAGCTGCCACCTTGTTGCCGAATTCCATTGATTCGCTCATGGTGAAACGTCAAAATCGCACTTGACCTCTCCTCAATGGCTGACACTTGATTTCATTGGCCTTTAATACCTTACGGAGAAAGGCCAAAACGTTGCGTGTCCCACTGGATGGTCGGTTTGGCTCGCATAAAGAGAACCAGGAGTACCAGCTGGTAAATGTGCTTTTGCACATCAAAATTTCGCTGGTGTGAACTGTTCCCACAACGTTGGATGCGTTTTGCAAGGCTATCGCCTTTGGTCACTCCAGCAAAACGGTTTTCGGTATTCATATTTGGCTTTCTGAGAACTAATGATAATTGGAGATGTTGGTATAGTTTTAGAGGTAGTTCGTCCGTATGGTTTCTAAGTTCTGTGTCGTACGCTGTCGCTACGCGAATGCCCTAGCTGCCTGGGGCCAACTACTGTCCTCTGCACCGTTCCTAACTGGCATGGCAGTAGAGGATGAGCTCGGCTTCCTCGCAGTCAACTGTCAGTCATGCAGGTCCGCGGTCGTCACCCATGGTTTGGTGGCACAAGCTGTTGGCATCCGGAAGTCATAGGGTCGGAACCCAGCATGGGTCCGTGGAAGACGTACCACTCACGAGACTCAGAAAGTCGAAGCAGCTGGCTGGTGCTTTTCTTGACGTGTCTAAGCCTGCTGACTAAGTGGGGACTGCGACGAACTACCACCAAAATTTCTGATGTGTTATGCAGCTTATTTGCTAAACTACTGGTGGCTTTTGTGAGTAGTGTAATTTTCGTAGAAGGTAGAAGCCACGATTAAACCGCACGATAACCAGCCTCGACAGGAATCGAATCCGGGACACACGGATTACTGACCCGCTGCTCTACCACTGAGCTTCCGAGGGCTGACGATCAGGTGCGCAATTTAATACATGACTTCTGCTTGGTTCACGACGTACTGCCAATAAGCTCACATTATCTGTCCTGGTGTTGCGGCTTGGCTCACTCACTCGTCACTTCCCAATGAACCGAAGTATCTGTCCTCCTGATGTTCAACCGGCGATGGTAAATTACTGGTGGTTTGTGTGCGTAGTGTAATTTTCGTAGAAAGTAGAAGCCACGATTAAACTTTGCACAATAACCTGTCTCGATATGACAGAGTTTAATGAGGTAAGTTCACCGTCAGCCCAATCATGTAACACGGCTGATGTGGGGCCGAGAATGACAAATTCTAGGAGAGCAGTTCAGGTCAAGCGAAGCCGTCAAACTAAACTTTTGCATCCAACTGGGTGCATTTTTAGCAGTTACACTACCGTAGTAGGTATACGACTAGGTTATATCAATTGCAAAGTCGGAACTAAAAAGTAATAGGCAACACATAAGCATTTCGTAGTCAGACAACTGCTGGCGCAACATGTGAGTTACTTTTGCTGGGTCAACAAGAAACCGTGCCAGGCGAGGTCAGAGTGCTTTACGATGCAATGAGGTGTGAAAAAATGTAACTATGTGTCTTGTAAACACAGACGAAAAAGACAACGCTTTGCCAAATTATGACTCAGTGGACGAAATCGATCGATTAGGTCTTCAGAAGCAATGTTATCGCTGGCAGCAAGATGAATAGAGATGGTCGAATCAACTAGAGAATCTCTTGGTAAAGCACTGAATCAATAACCACGCTTTATAGACCGTAGAACATAAGCGTAATATATCTAAGACAGGCCAGGAAATATGGCAAGAGAGCAGTACAACCAGTGCGGACACTGCATGAAGTCAAAGCTTTAAATATGTAACGGAGAAGGGCTGAACTCATTTAAAGTTCAAGCGGAGTAATTGTTCTGACTCTGCAAAACTTCACTAACGTGCCCAGACAAGAGGAGTTTAGGGGGTGAAAAGATATCGAGGTACTTAACGGTGGGTTATCTGGTTATGGGTTCGCCGTTTACAGCCAGCATGTGAGAGACATAAGAGACCGATAATTAGTGGCGCGAAAAGGAGACGACTACAACCTGACTGCATTTGGAAGCGTCGCAAATCAACTTCGCTTTGAATTTCCTGCTGTTTGCCGACGATCTCAAAATATAGAGCCGGCTTCGGCCTGGTGTCGATCAGAATTCACTTCAGTATTACCTAGCTACGTTACAGTAGTGGTCAACCCAAAATCTGTTACAGTTCATCATGGACAGATGCAAGATACTCTCCATACAACACCAGCGTACCTCTTCCTATAAGATAAGAACGCAAGTACTGCAGCGATCATCCGTCGAACGCGAACTTGGCGTGCTTGTTCAGGATAACGTGGGTTGTTCCAAACAATCCGCAAAGTCATCGACAAGTGGTAACCAGCAGGTCGGTTTGCTACGGCGGGCATTCGGATAAATAGACACCTCTATTTTCTGACTGATGCTCTATGCGCATGTCCGCCACCATGTTGCATACAAAATCCAAGCCTAACAGTAATGGCTGAAACACAACCTTACCGTACTACACAAACCTCAAGGTCGAGCTTCCAAATATGTCACTAGAATGCGCCACCTTCTATAGGAGCAGCGGCTGTAGCGTTTGGGAGTAGTCAGCAGGCGGTATCGCCGACCAGGAGGCGACTTGATTATGACATACTTGAACTATAAAATCCAACGCGTGTGTCGTAACACCTAACCACCATGTGTGTCGTTCTTTACTGCAACTCAGCAGTAATACCAAGCTTAAAGGCCACTCCTTAAAATTATCAGAAGAGTGCAGCCAACTGGCATGCCGTAGAAATTTCGTTTCAAGTGATCAAATAACCTAGGGGTAGACATTAGAAAAAGCGTTAGTGAACAAGCTTTGTTTTCAGTGATTCGTCATCAGGCAACTGCACCACGAAAGAATGACATTGAAATG